CATTGTGCCACCAGGGAGGGCCCCACATTTTCATTTTTAATAAAGTGCTTACAAAGACTTCCCATCTGTTATTTGCTTAACATAGTTTTTTTCAGTGATCAGTTTTTAAAGATCCTAAATACTAGAGTGGTCCTTGAGATCATAAGGATCTTGTGTGACTTGCAAGAACACCTCCTGTGATCTTCTTGGTGGGGGGGTGAGGGGATGTTATGATTTGCCTATCTGCTTCCATATCCTAAGTAATAAGAAACTCACTCCCTTAAGGAGTGGACTAGCTCATTGTGGAAGACTATGCCATCTCATACATACATGGGCCATAGTAGAGATGAGGTTTTAAATGCACTTCCATGGGACAATGTACAGCCACCAATCGGATATGGGATTCTAGAGTTCAGGGAGAGGTCAAGGCTAGAGATATAAATTTAAGAGTCATTGCAAATAGATGGGACATGGCTATGTTTGGTATATCTCTTCAGTATTGTAAGATGATTATAACTCAAGAATACTTTGCAAACAACATCTGAGGAGTAGAGATCTGGCATCAGAGACATTACCAAAAGCTGCAAATGAGAGTTGTGTTCTGCCAGGAGCAAATAGAATGCCAGGAACAGGTATAAAATCTGTCATTAGCATTCATAATTTGAATTGCTCCTAATTTGCCTGATTGAGGAAACAGCTTTATGGTGAGTCAGGTTATAATTTTATAAGTTGATTTGCAAAATCAATTACAACTTTATGGTATTACATTTTGGGGATATTGTATATTATCTCAATGGAAATTAATAAGCCCTGGATGAGTACACTCAGGGTAGTTAAGACAAGATTAGGAATATAAAACTGCCTCTAATTTATGGACAAACAGAATATGATGTATCAGAATTCCATAAGGCAGGCGGTTCAGTCAATTTGATTACAGCTTATTTTCCCAAATGCTTTAGTCTTAGTTTTGAAATATTGACTATCTTGGCATCTTTTAGTAAAAATCTTTTTATTTGTACGTTACTCAAGCTGACCTGGATAGATCTAATACTCTCCAGAATCTAAGACAGTATTTTTTGATCTTTCATTATTGACTCTCCCTCAACAAACAACCTTTTTAGATTTTGTTAATAATCATACTATTTTTATTGAGGTAATGTTGATTTACAACATAGTGATGGAGAGGTCCACACCTCTTCAGAAGTAGGTTCCCACACCCACTACTAAAGCCCCAATAATCATCCCACCCCCTATTGCGCTCATCCCCTCCCTACCTTCCTCTCTGATGGCCTCAATTCTATAGTCAAATTCCCGGAATTAGTATTAGTTTAGTTTAACCTGTTCTTTTGCTTTGTTTCTTCACCTTCCACACATAAGTGAAATCATCTAATATTTACCTTTCTCCTTCTGACTTATTTCCACTTAACATAATCTGATCTCATTCCATCCATGTTGCTGCAAATGGCAAGATTTCAGCTCCTTTTATAGCTGAGTAATATGCTATTGTGTATATATTCCACATGTTAATCCAGTCATGAGAAATTGGGTACTTAGATTTTTTCCCTAACTTGGCTTTTGTAAATAGTACTGCAATGATACTGTTTTCAATAGGCAAGCTTTGGGAACAAAGCAAGGCCCAAAAACAGGTGACTGGATCAAAAAGATGTGGTATAGATACACAATGGAATACTACTCAGCAACCAAAGAAGATAGACTCATGCCATTTGCAGCTTCTCAGATGAAACTTGAAAGGATGATGATCAGTGAAAGAAGTCAGAAGGAAAAAGAAAAGTATCAGATGGTTTAACTTATAGAAGAAATACAGGGGAACCAAGTAAGGGATCAGGAAAAGTAATAATAATAAACAAAATTAATAGGCAACTATAAGTCAGAGACATTCTATAGGGGAGGTACGGGAGAGGGATCAAAACGGGAGGAAAGAGCACAGGGGACTATGGAGATTTTGCACAGGTGAACTGGTGGTGGGGATTTACAGGGGCAACTGAGAGGAGAAAGCAAACATAGTACAAAAATGAAAAATGGTATAAATGTATATATAAATAAATATTTTTTTAAAAAATAGTGCTGCAACGAATGTAAGAGTGTACATGTGAAATTTGCCTTCTTCAAGTAGATACTTAGTAGTAGATGTGCTGGATTATATGGTAGATCTATTTTTCTAGTATTTTGAGAAACCTCCATACTATTATCCATAGAGGCTGAACCAATGTAAATTCCCACCAATAGTGGGAATTTTTCCCCATACTCAAATGAAAACTTGTTTCTGGTTTTTACATATGGGCTACTCCCACAGGTGTGAGGTAGTATCTCACTGTGGTTTGATTTTCATTTCAAAAGTAAATGAAAAGTAATGATGGCCTTTTGGCCACCTGTATGTCTTCTTTAGATAAGTGACTAGTTCTTCTGTGTGTATTATTCATGTTATTTGTTGTTATTGTTCATTGTACGGGTTCTTTGTTTATCTTGTCAGGTGTCTAATATGAAAATTTCTCCTCTATCTGGTAAGGGGTTTTAATGAGAGTTTCTTTCACTGTACAAAAGCCATTTTAGTTGATGCTCTTCTGTTTATTCAGTTTTGAATTTGTTTGCGTTGCTTTTGGAATCAAGTCCCTAAAATGCATCTGTGAAGCTAGTTTCTCAGAATGTTTGCTTATGCTTTCTTCTATGTATGGCATGCTGTCAGGTCTTACAAATCTATACATTTTGAGTGAATTTGTGTGTATGTGTAGTATGACAACAAAACTATAGGAATCAAAACAGTATGGTATTGGAATAAAAGTGCATACACAGACCAATGGAATAGAATTGAGACCTCAGAGATAAACCCAAACCCACAGAGATAAAACAGTTAATTTAATTAACTGTTGATTTAATTTTTTTAACAATTATCTCCATACCATGAAAATGTTTTATTGTGGTAAAATATACATGAAATAATTTTATCATTCTAATCATTTAAAGTATCATTAAATACATTCACAGTGTTATTTAACCATCACTACTAAGTATATCCAAAATATTTCATTATCTTCAACATAAACTCTGTACCTATTATGATGTAAATTACCTAAGCCCTCTTTTCAAGTCCCAGATAACTTCTATTACATTTTCTGCCTCTATAAATTTGTTTACTCTAATATTTCATATAAGTGGAATTATACAATATTTGACCTTCTGTGTTTGGTTTATTTCAGTTAGCATATCAAGGTTTATCTGTGTTGTAGCATATATCGAATTTTATGCCTCTTTATGACTGAAAGATATTCCATTGTATATAAAACAACATTTGTTCATCCATCATCTGTTGACACACACAGGTTTTTATCCACCTTTTAGCAGTTGTGAATAATGTTGCCGTGAACACTGGTGCACAAATATCTGTTTGTGTGCCTGCTTTCAATTGTTTTGAATATGCTCCCTGGCATGGAATTATTTGGTCCATAAAATTTTAATATTATAGTTACAAATCTGTTTATGTTACATTTTTACATATACATATATATCTATTGATGTGTTATACATCAAATGAATACAATTTCCTTAGCAGTCTGCCAGAACTAATTTTCATTTCCATGAGGGGGAATGATATTGCTTTCACTGAGTTTGTAGACTCTATGGTAAAGATCCTCACGTTGCTTATCTCAGATGGAGAATAGATATGTAGGCAAATATATGAACTTCTTAAAGAGGAATGAAGTCATGGATGATGAGGAAAATTACCCTCAAACAGTGAACCATAAAAACGTCTTAATTCTAAATGCAGTAAAATAATTTGTATTTTATTTAGTCTTTCAAATTAACAACAGTAAATAGTGTAATGAATCCAAGTAGGCTTTGGAAAATAGCTCTTAGCAGCTATGTCAGAGCCAAATTGATGGAATAAATATTCTAAGTTAAACTTTTGAAGACAGTAGAGATCAATGGTATTACTAGTCCCAGTGAAACTAAAGTATCTCCAGAACGCAAATCAAATACTACAGGTAAGTATGTATATAAAATGGAAGAAAAAATATGAACTCCAACTATGAGCATGTGGAAAGCCAAGCACTACCACGTCACACATGTCTTTGTTGGTGTATGGGTCCAGACTGGTATCTAGTTTGTAGGAAGTAGGGCAAGATTCTTGGCAGTGCACACCTAAGTTTGATTATAGTGTAGTTGCCAAATGCTATAGGATTTCATTATATAAAGAAGAGGTTAAGAAGATTATATAACAGCATTTGGGAAAACAACAGTTTCAAATGCCTGACAAGAACTCTTCAGTTTTCAAGAAAGACATAGACTGAAGAACTGGATATTAAGAGACTAAGGAAGTTTCTGAATTGGATCCATGGATGGGAACACTGGAGGCATTTGAATAAAATCTGTAGCTGGGTTATTAGTATTACACCGAAGTTAATGTCATTGTAGTAATATAACACAGCTGTGCAGGATGTGAACCTGGAGGAAAGTTAAGTGAAGTGTGCATTGGAGACTTGTACATACGTACAATTCTTCTGTGAGTCTTAACTGCCACTTTTATCATTTGATACACAGTTATCATCTGAGAACCGACTTTAGAAAATATCTTTAGGGTTTTAGACAAAAATACAATAATATGATAAATTGTAACAAGGTAGGTAACTGAAAATAATAAGCCGTACATGTGTGTAGTAAGTACTCCCATGTAACCAACCTTTTTATTAACTACATCTCATTAGCAAAGTATATTTTGCTGATTTTATCAATACGGTGCTTACCATTCAGATTGAAAACCGTGAATTTGACTGTTAGCAAATAAATTGTAAAAATGACTAAAAAAAGTGAAATTATTTCAGAATGAAAAACAAAAGAAATCAAACAACAAAGTTTCTGGTAACTCCAGAGCAGTGACCACAAAACCGGTAACTGGAAATGCTGAAGAATGGTTGGGTTGGGAGATCTGTAACTATAACAGCAGCGGCTTTGAAATCTGACATGAGAGTTAACTCCTACCTTTTTCCTTTTCCATTCTGTTTCAGGGTGTGTTGGGTGCATCACGTAACTGGGATGTGGGTGTACCCTTTCCTGGAACACATTGGCTCGGGAGCTAGAATCATCTTCTTTGTATTTACAACCATCTTAATGAACTTTTTGTACTTGCTGGGAGAAGTTCTGAACAACTATATCTGGGATACACAGATAAGTAAGTATTGGTGAAGGGAGTATAAAGCAAGAGAATTGCTTCGTAAAAGAGTGTGTGCAGAGACTGAAGGAAAATTCCACTGTAGCACAGGATCATTATAAAGAGTTTCATTTTTATAACCACGATGTTAAGACCAGCTGGCAGTTACTGAAAGGGTGTATCATTCATTTTGTCTTATTAACCAGTAAAATGTTACCCAAATCGAAAAGAAAAGAAGCATGTCTAAAATTTTATAGGGAACAGAAAAAAATTAGAAAGTTCACTCTGATTAACAAAATGCTGACATAGTTGAGTGAAATAAGTGATTGCCAGTAAGCAGTCTCATTAGTAGTCACCCAGATCTCCACTTCTGTGTCATCCTTTGTGTAAGTACAGTCACCTTAGGAAGGGTCATCCCCAGTTCTGCTCCAGTCCTAAGCCACATGGAATAGGTGTTCCATTCACCACCGACTGTCGCATTCAAGGGTGGAAGGTAGCTGCGAGATGCAGGTAATAAGAGGGTAACATTTCATTACTGTAAAAACTCTTTTAACCTATGGTTTGATTTCTCTTTTCTTTCTATTTATGGCAGAGCCTCCATCTTTGCAAGACACATAATGTTCCCCAAGCTGTGTAAAACCTGTCGAAGTTGTTTGTGATAGATGGGAAAGTGAAAAAGTCACAGCACAGATACATAGTGGCTTGAGTCCTGCATGAAAACGCAAGGGAAGATGGCGGGGGAGGGGGGACCCCCGCCCTCACCATCACAGCGTGGTACACATCATCCATAAATGCTTTCTGATCCACAAAATGTGAGCACTTACTCTGAGCCTGAATCTGTGCCATCCTCAATGAGTTAAGGTAGATTAACATTGTGCAGCCTGTTTCAGAATCTAACCAGACAAATAAAACATTCATTGCTTGGCTATTAAATTAGACTTTTTCTGTATGGGTCTTCTAAGATGGTATGTGTCAAGATGTTGACCAAAGTTAGATGGCCCATAAGAATTCGGGGGTTTTAATCAGTGACCTATTAAAAAAGGTCAAAAATCTTTATTTGGTTCAGGCCATACCTTGGGGAAACCAGAAATTTATCTCTGAACAATTATGCTCTTTTTTTTTATTTTTTTAAAGATTTACTTATTTATGCATACAGAACTGGGGTACAGGCCAGAGGTGCAGGGGCAGTGAGAGGATTCACCAGAGACAGAGTGGGGAGCAGAACAGGCCAGCTGCTGAAGTGCACTGCTGAGGGGAGCAGTGGGCGGGTCAGGAGAGGTCTGCCGTGCCATGTGGGTCACCTCCGGGGCTGGGATCGAACTCATGCTGCAGTGGCTTTGGCTTCTTAGTGCTATGCTTTAACCTGCTGCACCACCAGGGAGGGCCCCGATTATACTATCTTTTGTATAATAGTCATCTTTCTTGATTAATTACCGTATAAAAGTTAACTGGCAAAAAAATACTTTAAGAACAAAATGTAAACTTGTCTCAAATTCTTGAGAGAAAAGCCATATGTAAATGTAAATGAATGTGCCAATAGATGTTACTCAGCAGTATTTGTGACTGTTCCCCTTGATGGGCTTAATTCTGCAGTGACTGCCTATTGTTCCACTACTTCTACAAAAATGGCCGGAAAGCTGAGAGAAAAATCCAATCTGGATTAATAGAATACTACTTTTCAGTAACTTTGATTGAAAAATTAAAAATGAATAGTGAGGCCCTCCCTGGTGGCTCAGAGGCTTAAAGCACAGCACTACAAAGCTAAAGCCACTTCAGCATGAGTATGATCCCTGCCCTGGAGATGATCCACATGGCACAGCAGACCTCTCCTGACCCGCCCGCTGCTCCCCTCAGCAGTGTACTTCATCAGTCCACCTGTTCTACTCCCCACTCTGTCTCTGGTGAATTCTCTTACCACCCCTGGCCTGTACCCTAGTTCTGTATACATAAATAAACAAATCTTGTAAAAAATGAATAGTGAAACTAAGGGTTTTATGAATGATCTGCTCACTTTAATTTGTGCCATTCTCTTAATGGGTTAAGATAGATCAACATTTGTAGCCTATTTCAAGTATTAGAAATTATTAATAATTTGGCTCACATGGGAAGATCTAGTTAGCTCCACAGCAGCAGATGTTTTGTATCAAGGGAGCCTCTTTTCATTTATGAGAGAGATCAAAACTGATGGCTTCTTCTAAATTTTACTTGCCAAAAAAAGTTTTGTTAAGCCTACTTAGTGGGATTATTGTTCTTGAACCAACATTTTTAAATTGTGAGATTTCACATAATCCAATCTTTCAGCTTGTCAAGTATTTTAAGATCTAGCCACGCTGAGCCCGCTGTTCACTTGTGGAAACCATGAGCTGGAACTGAGCATCAGTTTTCTGTTTAGGTGGCTCCCTCAGTTCACCTACAACCCACCTGGCCACCTGATGGGCTCTATCAACTGCCTGGTTATGTGGTATTTGAGGTTGAAAGTGCTGATTAAATGCATGGAGGCAGGTAGGTGGGAGCAGGTGTTAGAATTGAGTACAATCGTGTACACTATTACTGTCCTGAGTACATTTACTGTATCCCAAGCAAAATCCCCCAAGAAGCAGAAATGTCCCATTTGTATCCCCTTCTTTGTATCCATAACGATTGTTAATGACCCCACTTTGACTTGGTTATGTTGTTTTGGCTTCATTTTCAAGGAAAAATCATATTACCAAAGACTCTCACCACTGAAACATTTGCTAGACATCATCTAACCTGACCCTTTCCTTTTACTAAGAGACAACTGAAGGCCAAAAGCCTTAAGTGACCAACCAGAATAGGTGGTGAAGGGCCAGCATCTTCTGAGTGAGGTTCATCCCAGTGTCATGTCTAGTGAATCATTAGAACATTGTACTTGGAAACCAGACACTGGAAGGCTCAGGAATTTCCATCAGAACTATGGACCTCACTTACAAAGTAAAATAGAACCAGCCTGCTATGAACTACGATCACAAAGACCGTAAAGTCTTTACTTTAGCTCTCATGGCTGAAGTAAATCATTTGTTCTTTTTCAAAAAATTATATTAATTGCAGTTTATTATTTTTGGATTCTATGAAACAGTAACTCAAGTGGGCTTTGTGGGCTTGCATTCGTTTGGTAGAGCTGGCACAACAAGATACACAAACAGGACAATAGAAATGTACTGGCTCACAGTTCTGGGGACCAGACTTTCATAAGTTTGGTTGACTGGTTCCTTTCAAGGGCTGTGAGAAAGGGGTAGTTATAGGCTTCTCTGTCTGGCTTGTCGATGCCTGTCTGTTTATCTTTTATTTTTTTTTTTAAACATTCATCACATCATCCTTCATTTTTGTACACAGTATGATTCCCTGTGAGATTCCCACCACCCATTCCCCGGTGCGCAATCACCACAGTCCCGTCTGCTCTCCCCACCCGGTCCTGATCCTTCTCCCTCCTCCACCTGTTTTGAGGCACACCCAGTGTTCTCCCTGGATATGAGCATGTCCCCAAATTCCCCCTTTTTATAGAGACACAAGTCATGTTTGATGGTCCACCCTGAAGACTTCACTGTCACTTGTGAAAGACTCTCTTCACAGTTTATTCTTAAGTACTGGGCATTAGGGCTTCAATATATGGACTTTAGGGAGACACAACTCAGCCCATATGACTGCCTTCTCACAAATCTCACACCTTTCATGCATACAAAATATATTCCCAATAGTCCCCAAAATCTTTCCAGCATCAACACCTAAGTCCAAAAATCTCATCTTAAATGTCATCTAAATTGGTGGTGGGCAAGACTGGGGTGTGATTCATCCTGAAGCAGAATTGTTCCCCAGTTGTGAACCTATGAAACCAGACGGAAAGTTATCTGCTTTCAAAACACAGTGTTGGACAGGCATAGACTATGTATCCCCTTTCCAAGAGAGAAATCACAGGGGGAAAAGGGGTCACAGTCTGAGAGCAAGCAGGGAAGATTCCACTGTTTTTAAAGCTTGAGAATAATCCTCTGGCTGAAGGAGCTGTCCTCGGGCCTCGCCAGGGGGGTGTGACCCACCCCTTCGCCCTGAGTGGCAGTTCTTCCCTCAGTAACCAAGGAGGATTAGGTCCAGAACAGCCTTCAGTCATTCTTCCTTAATTTCATCCTTTCTCTGTCTCTTTCTATCCAGACTGGCAGTGTTTTTCTGCTTGTATAAATTCGCAAAAATCTTACTGTTTTCCATGCAGCTCTTGGGGGCTTCAGATCATCGGAAAAACCGAACCCCACAGGTCTTTCCTGGCTTCTACACAAATGGTTGGTTTGCTCCACAAGCCTGATGCCTAATCTCTTCAAAGGGTTGTCCAGTCACACCTTTTCTGGAATTCTGAGATGCTGAGGGGTCAGAGCTTGAGTATCAAAACTGGGGGCAGAGGAGAAGGGGGGGAGTAGAAAAAGAGGGGGGTCACAATTCAACCTACAACAGCAGAAATATTTCTCTTCTTAAGCTAAGAATCTCTTCCAATTCCAGTGTGACTGACTAAGGGGGCCAGTCGTATTAAACTTTATACAATCAGAGATGGAAGTGCCCAGAAGCAAAAAGTTGGGGTGACAGCAGAGAAAGCCTCAAAAGAGGAAGGACGGGCCCGGGAACCAGGCCTATGTGACAGAAACCTCCACTGTGCTCCGTCACAGACCCCCTCCAGCTAACCCCACTCAGCCCACCCAGATAGCACACTCCCAGAGCCGCTCCTCCAGCCAGGGCAAACACGTGACCAAGTCTCTTCAGTACTTCCAGCGAGCACCTCCTGTCTCAGCTTTGTGACAAGTTTCTTTCTGCTCTTTGTGCTGAAAATTAAACCTCAGATTCTTCCAAATATTATTTACAGCTGCCTAGTTTTTCCCTCTACCTCAAAGCTGCCAAAGTAAAATAGGTGGGGAGCCATTTTCCCTGTCTGGGTCAACGAACACCCCCTGTTCTCCACCCCCGCTTTTGAAGATTCCACTCTTACTGCCAAGTCAACCCATCTGCAGGAGAACGCTTAGGAGGAAACACTTTAAAATGAAAAGCCAGCAGTTACTAGCTCCCGATGGCTTCTCCGCCGAGGGGGACAAGGGCCCAAGTCACGTGTGCTGTTTGAACAGAGCCCATGTTGTGTTTCTGCCTTCGCCTTGGTTACCCAACAGCAGAGGCTTCTCCAGCTTCTCCTGCCCAGCTCTGTTCCTCAGATGTCCTTACTTCTCAGTTTGAAGTTTTCCTTAATGGGATTTCTGAGAAGTACTTTGGAAAAAGTGTTACAGGTTCTTGCCAGTTCCTTACTCATGAAAACCAAACCTAAAAGACTGTGTAAGGACACCTGTTCGGAGCAATAACCGAGTTCCACACCACTTTCCTGGCCGCCTCCCCCGCCCCCGCACGTACTGGGGGGTGGTGCTGAGGCGGGGGATGTGGGCTCTGGGGTTTGTTCTCAGTGCGAGCCCTATAGTTCTGGCCCCTGGGGTTAGGCTTATAATCTTAAACACTGGAGTTTCCTATTTTGTTCTTATGCTCTTCCAGTAGATCAGCCTCTGAGCCTTCTCTTTGAGCACTCTTTATGAATTTATGCACTAAAGATAATTTGCACGCCTATGATAAGCTAGACACTGTGCTGGGTACTAGGGATATAATCAGTAATAGAACAAGACTATGTTCCATGCTCAGAGAACGTGCAAATGACAAAAGTAAACCAACAACTGGGCCTCCCTGGTGGCATAGGGTTGAAGTCTCAGCACTGTGAAGCTGTCGGCAGCCACTGCAGCACAAGTTCAATTCCCAGCCAGGGAGCTGACCTACATGGCGCAGCAGACCTCTCCTGTCTCCCCGCTGCTCCCCTAGCAGTCTATCTCAGTCATTCCCACCTGTTCTACTCCCCACTCTGTCTCTGATGAATTCTCTCACCACACAATCTGCCTCCACTTCTGAACTATACCTCAGCTCTTGTATAAATAAACAAATAAACGAATGAATGAATAAAAGAAGGAGTGATTAGGATACCAACAAAATGTGCAAAACAGTATTTGGGATTCTTCTTCTTGAAAACAAAAAGGAAAAAAAATTTGGGGAGCATTTACCAAATTTAACATTAATGCATAAAATCACTTCAAAATTTTTATCTCCAAGAGAATGAAATATCATGAACTATTCCTTGTAAGCAAAGGTCTTCAGTGAAGTCGGTCAGGAAGAAAGCCAATCCTTCAAAACTAGCTTGAATGGAGGAGAGCTTGAGATTAATTATACAGGGGATGGGCAATAAACAGTTCTTGTGACTATCTCTCTGAGCTTAAAAATAAAAAGCACAGACAGTATCTCTTTCCCATGCATTGCTTCTTTGCAGGACATTTCAATGAATTATCCTTTTTTTTTTTTTTTTGTCTAAAAAGAAAAAAGATTAAAAGTTTCTTGACTTTGTTCAGAAACCTTGCCTTGGGTAGGGATAGCTGGTTGAGGTCCTTGTGCAAACTTAACAAGAGCCAACGTGTAGCCTTCACTTCCAGAAGCCCTGAGAACTGGGTATGTCCCGGAGAATGTTGTGTCCTGATTTGGAGGGAGAGGATGCGGGAAGAGGTCACTGAGGTAGTTTCCGAAAAATGCCATACATGTCTTTCCTTCTTAGCTAGCAGAGAAGCTGTGGGTACCACAAGCTGAATGGAGAGAAGTGTGGAGAGATGAGAGCTTTGTCACCGCTGCTTGTAATTTAATCTGGTGTTAAAATAAGGTTCTTTGCCTATATTTCTAGGTATGGAAGAAGACAAGGAGAAACCTAAATTGGAATGAGAACTAAACCCAAGAGGAAGCGCTTAACTGAGAATCCCTTGAAGATTCATTTCCCCCGGGCATTGGCAACACAGGGAAGCTTCAAAAAATGCAGTGGCAGTCACCTCCACCCCTGTCCCATGGGAGGCCTCCTTCCACAGGGAAATATGTATAACAGAATGCAGGTGTCTGCACATTACTTGCTTTCACTGTGTTTTAAAGAATATTTCTAAATTTATTATTTGTGATAGCATCAGTTTTCCTTTTTTCTAGTTCTTAACTGAAATGGATCATTGGATTTTAATTCTTACAGTTGTAATTCTATTTAATCAAGGAAGAATAAAATTCTATTGCATTTCTTGTTTGCTTTGTGAAAAGCAAAGAGCAGGTATAGCGCAGGATACTGGTGTACCTTGGTCTTACAGGCTGGAACAGTCTATCAGAACCACAGGTAAATGCAGAGGAACCGTGAATGTTCCATATTGCTAGAATGTCAGTTTACCTCAGGCAGGCAATGTTAGTAATAATTACATTCATTTAGTCTAAGCCCAAGTGTATTTGGATCTCATGATTTAACCTTGTGAATGGTTTCCTAGATGTAAACTATAATTTTAATAAGAATCAGCCATTCTTTTTTTTTTAAGATATTTATTTATTTATTTATTTATGCTTACAGAACTGGGGTACAGGTCAGAGGTGTGGTGAGTGAGAGGATTCACCAGAGACAGAGTGGGGAGCAGAACAGGCAGATCTACTGAAATAATACTACTGAGGGGAGCAGCAGGTGGGTCAGGAGAGGTCTGCCACACCATGTGGGTCAGCTCCCTGGTGAGGGATCAAAGTCCTTATGTAGTGGCTTCAGAGAGCTTCATAGTATGGTGCTTTAACCCGTTGCACCACCAGGGAGAGCCCAGAATCAACCATTCTTATCTGACATCTATCTGGTTCATCTCAAACCCTAATTGCACTGATGTCTCTTTCCTTGTTTTGTTTCTATTATTGGTCTAAAATGGGTTTACTGAACCTACTTCTTACAAATCTCTGGTTTTAAAAATGTGTCTTTTTGATAAATCTAATAAAGAATAATATTGGGTGGGGAAATGCTAATAAAATCTTTGATCATAATTATTTTAAATAGGATATAGAATGTATATAAACCAAAAAATATTGCTTAATATAAATATGGATGTTAATTGTCCATACCAAGAGAGATAAACAGTGAAAGACCATTCACTCCAAAACTGGGACTGCATTTTAATTGTAATACAACTTAAGAAACACTAGAAACAAATCTCTATCTCTGTCTGCCTCTCTCTCTTTAACATACATATATCTGTATATTTTCTTTCTTTTCTTGTTCATAGCCACTTCTTAAATGAGTCTGATTATTCCCATTGGCAAATTCCAAGGTCCCAATATCCACCTAAAGGAGGAGAAAAATATTTGTAGGATGCTACTGATTATCTTATAGATAATTTTAAAAGATATACATTAATAATAAATATATTTATGTTACAGTACAGATATCCAATATTTAGCACACTGTATTATTAAAATTTTCAACCTGAAGAAGATTTTGGTTAATAACTATTTCAGTCGATGATATAACATATGGACCTCCCTGGTGGTGCAAGGGGTTAAGTCACAGCACTAGGAAACTATCACCAGCCACTGCAGCCTGAGTGAGACCCCAGGCCAGGGAGGTGACCCACATGGCACAGCAGACCTGTCCCACTTTGCCTGCTGATCCCATCAGAAGTGTGTTTCAGTAGATCTGTCTGTTCTGCTCCCCCCTCTGCCTCTGGTGAATCCTTTCACCTGAACACCTCTGGCCTATAATTCAGTTCTGTATGCATCAATAAATGAATATTTTAAATATATATATATATATATATATTATAACATAATATTATGAAAACACTCTAGACATACATTATCTGTTGTGTCAATAAATATAAATGTGCTTGGTTCACAAAGATTTTCAGACTAGGTCACAAAGGAAAATCCCACTTCATGCAATATGTATTACAAACACACATAAAATGAAGTAATTATAGAAGAGTACAAGTATATAATCAAAATACTTTCACCTGAAAAACTTAGACAACAAGAAAAGGGTTCTTTTAATCTGAGGGAATGTGCAAATCTGGTCCAATTTCCTCCTGAGGAAGCCACCTTGCACTCACATGCCCAATTTTGAAGACAAATATAGAATGCAGCTATCAGCATCCTTACACTGGCTCGCGAGTGCATGGAATTGACTATTACGTAGGCTGGCAGGGCACGTTGAGAACAAGGAAATTCGCACGCTTTCGGAATAACTGCTGCAATTAATGACACAGTCAAAGACTGAAGTCTCCACAGATGGTGGCTCTCATCAACACTACATTTAACTTCTCTGTTGACAGTGTGTGGGGCTGCATTATGAACTACAGTCTCCCCAAATTCAAACACTGAAACCCAACTACCCAGTACTTCGGAATGTGACTGTAACTGGAAACAGGTTCTTAAAAGGGATGGCTATGTTAAAAGAAAGCCAGGAAGATGGATCTAATCCAATCTGACTGGCAAGCTTCTAGGAGGGAGAAAGTTGAGTGCACAGAGACACCCCAGGGATTAGCAAGAACACAGGAGGCCATGTGAGCACACAGCAAGCAGGGCAGCCCTATAAGCCAGGTGGAGAGAGCTGGGGGGGGGGGGGGGGGGGAACTGCTGACACTTTGACCTTGGAACTCCATGCTCCAGAACTGGAAAAGACAGTTGCTTAAGCCATCTAGCCATAAGACTCTGGAATGGTGAACTTAGCAAACTAATTCGGTCTGTGTGAAAAATACTGATGGATTCTCGAGAATGATGATAAATTCCTGCCAACTTGTTTAGGTGGTGTCTGCTTGCAACAACTCTTCCAGCAGAGGTCTCATTTTTTGCTGGAGTAAATCAATACAGTACTCACTCTGTGACATAAAGCTATTAAAATTTTCTCTTACCTTGCAAAGACAGCAGCATGCATTCACTGCTCTCTTCTCTCAGAACTATTCCATTCTGTCTCTGCATCATCATCTATTCCACAGTGACCCTGGTGTTCACATCATCCCACACAGCAGGTACTTCTGTTGTATGATTATACATACTACTTGAGTAGTGAGCTAGATGTAGCAAATATCAGGTATCTTGGCAAGATACATGCATGTAAGATAATACGACCTTACTGCCACCCTCAAAATATTTCAGGGAATATCTAGTTTTCTGAAGATTCTAGAGCTGCGTTGACCTGAGTGAGACATGTCAATGTGTGCCTTCTAAGGTGAAATTACAATGTTTCAACTTGTGTGCTTTACCACTCAGAATGAAATGCAACCCATTGTGCCTTATTAGATTTTGGTGTCAGTATATATCACATGGAGGGTGTTGTTCTTATCCCTATACCACGATTAGAGAAAAATTAACTAGGGCAATAAAAATTAAACCAAAACAGATAAACAATTACTACTCACAGGTGGCATGATTTTAAACCTCTTACCTACTCCACAAAGCACTTATTCCAGTTATGTATTTATGACTGCCAACAAATCAGAACTTAATGGCTTAAAAGAACACTTATTTTGGTAATACGTCTGCAACTTGAGCAGAACTTGGTACATGAGTTTGTCTGCGCACCACTCAGTTTCTGCTGGGGCCACTTGAAAGCTGGAGTTTCCGACCCCTGAAGGTTGCTGAGGAGCCCAAGCATTGCTGCTGGCTGTTGACAGAAACCTCAGCTGAGTCTGTGACAGGAGAAACAGCCAATGGTCTTGCCGTGGGGCTCCTGGGCCTTGTCACAATGCGGTAGCTTCTCTCAGCAGATCTAGGTGACAGGTAGGTGACTTTAGATCACTTCAGAAATCACACAGGACCTGTGAGCACAGGCAAGCAGATCAGCCATCTGTAAGCCAGGGCGGGACTTCAGGAAAACACAAAACGCTGACACTTTGCTCTGGGGCCTCTGTGCTCCAGAACTTCAGCAGTGAGAAAGACTTGCCCAGATTCAAGTGGAGGAAACATAGAGCCTCACCTCTTGAGAGGGAAGTACCAACATTACATGACAATAAAGACAGGCAGGATGAGGCTCTGTGGGAAGCTAGACTTGTAAAATACAATCATACACACATCCAAAGCCATAAACTAAAAACTGACTTTCAAATAATTTAGCAAAGAGAAGATAAAAATAATATGTGGAGATAAATAGTTTTACTATATAAAAATGGAATGGAATATACTGGGTGGAAGGAACCCCATTCCAAAAGCAATACTTTTGTGAAGAAAATTAGGAAACATTCATGACACGAAAGAAGGTTTGAACACACAGAAACATACCATGTTCTTAGAGACCAAGACTCAATATCATAAAGTTGTTAAGTCTCAAATTAACTTATAAAAAATACCAAGTTCAGCATTTACTTACTTATAAAACCAGAAAGTGTAGGCTAAAGGTCACATGTAAATATAAATAAGAATTGTTTAGAAAGCACAAAGTAAAAAAAGCAACAAGCAGTCCAGAAGAAAACATTACTAGTTATTAAAACATTACAAAAACCTCATTAAAACAGTATGGAACTGATTATGAATATACTGACTGATGGACATGGAAGCAACAGATAAAGACAAGCCACAGAAATAAGTACATAGTTTGGAATATAATGTTTGTAACTTCAATGAATGAACAGGGTAGATTACTCATTTAATGTCACTTGAGTGACTAGAAAGCCAACTGAATTTTTTTTTTTATTGCATTGATACATGGCACTTTTGACCCTAACAAATCAAAGATTTAATTTGGTTTTTAAGTACTAAAAGAAAACTAGGGGTCCTCCCTGGTGTCACAAGGGGTTAAAGCACAACACTGTGAAGCTTGCTGCAGCTACTTCAGTGAGAGTTCAGTCCCTGGCCAGGGAGGTGACCCACATGGCCTGGTGGACCTCTCCTAGCCGCCCGCTGCTCCCCTCTCAATCTGCCTGCTTTGTTTCCGGCTCTGCTCTGGTGAATCCTTCCACTGTCCCTGCACTAGGACTTTGTCTTTAAGGATGGAAAAAGCCTTTGTAACTATGATTCAAACTCTAATAAACATAAAATAAGATTAATACTTCAGTTATATAAAATCCCAAAATTTCTGCATTACAAAAACGTAAGCAAAGACAAAACATATTTTCAACTACACACAGACAAAAGACCAATCAGCCTAATATATATAAAGAGATCCTGGGGCGGGGAGATCAGGTGGGGGATGAGGAGGAGAAGTATGAGAACAGCAAACTAATAGAAAAATAGCATAAATAATTTAGAGAAAAAGAATTGAAAATAGGTCTTAAACATATGGAATGCAACTCTAATGTAATGAGAAAAACACAAATTAAAGCCACACTGAATAGCATTTTTGTCTATTGGCCTGGCAAAATTTCAGTAGTTGGCAACATACTTTATTGGAGAAGGTATGAGATCACAGGGACTTTCTTAGTTGCTTGTGGGAATATAAAGAAATACCCCTCCTATACTAAGCAATTTGTCTTTAGCTTTTAAAATTGCAAATGCATAAATCACTTAACATAGCAATTCTATTTCTCAGAATTTATATTATCCGGCATCTTTCCACATGGTAAGTTTGTTAATTGCACCTAAGCTTATAAT